GAGTTCACAGATTAGTAATTGATTAAATAGATGTCCCTATATAGAATTTCATAGATTACTGCCCACTTTTGCAGAAAAGGTAGCTAAACATGCTCAGGAGAATTGCCTGTCATATTTTGCTCGCAAGTTAGATTATCTTCACCTTGTGGAGAACAAAACATTTCTTTCTTATTATGGATTTATTGTCTGAGGAGAAAAGGCTGTGTAAACCCTTTCCAGTCTAGAAAAAGGAGTTTGAGACCTAATTTCTTGCAAAGACTCCTTGCTTACTCTGTCTAGCTTAGAAAATCAGACAGTAGAATAGTCCAATAAACCATACAAAGTATGTGTATAATGTGGTGAAAATAGTTCAGAAATGAGGTTTTTGGTTGTGGTTTTGGTTTTGTTTGTTTTGGGATTTTGTTTATCTGTTTTGTTGGGGTTTTTGTTGTTGTTGTTGTTTTAGCTTAATAATGTATTTTTTAAATAAATTAGTCTGAATGTTTGGCACACAATAATTCCGTTATTTTCTGCCTGTTTTATACTTATGTCCTTCCCCTTTATCATCTATTAGAACAACTTCCCTTTCTACAGAAGGGCTGTGTTATTTATAAATTGCCATTTTATTTGCCATACGCTGTATATGAAGTGGGCCGTAGATGGTAGCTACATGGCTTGAGAATAGAACCCTTAATTTTGATGTGTTTTATAAACAATGGGCAATAAACGGGCTCATCCTGTGTCCTTTGCCTTCCGTGGGAGCTCTGACAAGTGTGTTTGCGCCAGAAGAAGCGGGCTGCCAGTGCAGCGGAGCGGGCTTTTCAGCGCACTTGTGTGTCCCCGTGCCAAGAATGAATTTTGCCGATTCACATTTGCTCAGTTTGTCAACACACAGCTCCCATTGAAGGTGGCAGGACGAGAATCATTCTTGGCACGGGGCCGCGGGCGGCCCGGCAGCGGCGGGGCCGTGAGGGGCCAGGCCAGCAGGGCCCGGCCGCGGCTCCCGGCCCCCGGCCCCCGGCTCCTGCAGCACGGGTGTGCTGCTCTTGGAGGGCTGGGGAGAGCCGCCGATAAAAAAGGATTTCCTAGGTTAGTTTTCAAGGCTATTTTTTTGTGTGTGTGGCTGTCTGGATGATTAATGGGAATAGGAAAATACTGTTGACCCATTTAAATCATGTTAGACAACTTCCATTGCTCATCTACATAATGAAATACACACTGAACATTACAGCCTGAGTATAAGAGCCAGGGAACTACAAAAATAATATTTTACTCATTTAGATTATGAAGTAAAATATAGGACATTAGGACTAATGATAGTATTAAATTTTAAGCCATGCAAATTGCAATTGTCAGTGAAAAAGAAGTATAAGTTGAAAAGGCTATTAGCATTTCAGCTTTAACAGTTAATTTCAGTAATTTCTTTTTTCTGCTAGTGTGTAGCTTAAAAAAGTCCATATGCAAACCATTTAATAGTAAGTGCAGAAGTGTTTTTTTTATATTGTTATTTAATTTCAGTCATTAAAGAAATGCTAGAAAATAATTTGCAATATTAAAATATGTTAACATTTTATATTACTGAGAGTAAACTGCAATTTTTGCTCGTGTAAAATCAAGTATGAAAGGCAAATTATTAGTAACCAACAGATGAAATAATTTTAAGTGTTTATTTAAGTACCAAAGCAAAAACTGAAGCCTTTAAAAATATTAATTTTGTCAAATAGAAACAGAATTGTCAGCCTTTTAAACTAAATACAAATTTTTAAGTGCTGAATTTAGGCTGACAGGTTTCTATGGTTACCTACCTTTCCAATAGTTTGGTGAGATGTGTAAATAGGCCTGTGAGTCACTAGTAATTATTTGGGTTTTGTTTGTTATAGTTGTAATTCTGTGTTCAGTTTGAATCTAATACAGTTCATACCACATGCTTTGGTTTATGTATATTTTAGTGTGTATGATTGACAGTGATTGAGCATTTCTTATGGAGTGCTTGGTTTTTTTGTCATAAGTGATGTATGTTGGTACTTCTGAAATGTAAACAACTTCTTCCTGTATCACTGTTTGAGAAACAGGGATTTTTATGCTAAAAAGAGGTCTTTGTAAATGTTAAGCAAGGAGATAAATGAAAGGTGTTTAAAAAACATTTAAAACATCTCCCAAACATTTTACTGTACTCTTCCAAATTTGATCCGTAATTCTATCATTATAATTCACTCAGTGACCCAAATGTCACATATTTATGAATAAGCTTCCAAGTTACACATTAATAGCACAGGGTAATGACTGACAGGTTTAAAAATAAGTGTTTTAATCAGGATGCTACAAGTTGTCTGCAGCAAGCTCTTGATTAGTACATCTTCTTGTGCAGAGCATTTTCTTGAAATAAAAATAAGAGCTTATTTCTACCACCACCACAGCAGTTTAGCAGAGAAAGCTGTAAACTGTTAGACCTCTCTGCTCCTATACTTTGAAATCTGGATTATGGGATGTAATTCCCCAACCTTAGACTCATCACTCTAGCAAAGGAAGCATACATGTTTTCTCAGCAAGACTTACTGTCCTAACATAACTTGTGTTTTCAGTGAAAACAGGACAATACAAGTAATTAACAACACAAGGCAAGAAATACTACTAGCTGTCAATTTTACCAAAGAAGTAGTAATGTAATCTTATTTTATTAAGGTATTCATCCCAAAGTTGTTGACCATGTGCACTTTTTTCCTTAATTTTGAGATAAGACTGACCTATGATTCAGAAATCATCTTGTGTCCTTAGAGATTTGGCTGTAGGTGTATGGAAAATACTTACTGCAGGAAAAAGACTGACTGCCTGTTCTCTTCCCATGTGTCAAGCTACACAGAACATCCTGATACAGTGTTCAGGAGCATTCCTAAATTTCCTATGCAAAGATTACTCTTATTTCAGCAATGTTGCTTGCCTACTGAAAGGGTGGAAAACGGTGATCCAGACGTATTTTTTTCCATTTCAGGTGGAAATTTTAGAGGTTAAAGTAGGATTTATTCTTAACATTTAATATTGTGTCAGGCATGTATATAGGACATAAACATGCCAGGTGAAAAGCAGTTGTTTCACAGAGCACCTGAAAAAATTTTAACCCAGTAGGATTCAGTGAATGTTAGAGCTGTGGGTGGGTGCATATAAACAACAAGATATAGTATTGTGCTGTATATAAGGACTATTTGAATAGCTGATTTTTTTAATCTGAAACAAGTGCTATTTTTAAACTAACTTGTTGCAATAGTTGTTTCTTCCCTACTAAATCAAAATCATGAATACAATAACCAGTCTTTCAAGCAAAAGTAATTTCTCTGATCTTTTAAAAAATCTAAAGATAGATAGAAAGTACTTAGAAAATGTATTTAAGTATGGAAAGCTGAACAGATATGTTTCTCATTCTAATTTATTCATTTTATGATAAATTAATTTACTCAATAAAGGAATGCAGTAACATAAGAGGAATGTTTCTCCTGCTAGTCAGAGAAGTTGAAACTTGCCAGATGCTGTGATCTGGAGCCTAAATTCCCTTGATAGTAACTGTGATTGAAACCCTTAATATTGCTTTGTGCAGCTTTTGTACTGGACTTATCTCATTTTGGACTGCTATTGCTTTAGACAACACTGTCTTTTTATTTTCTTCTTACGTTTTTCTGTCAGAGGGAGAAAATAAGTAGAAATAACAGTGGGATGGAAGGCTGTGCTGGAGGACTGCAATGCTCTGTTCCCAGTGTCTGTACAGTTTGATCCCGTGTTCTGTAATACACAATTAATTTCCTTTGGTATAGTCATGGCTATCACTCAGCTATAGTTAGATTGTACTCAGTATTAAGTCCTATAATAAAAGAGGGAAGTGCTGTTTAATATACCAGAATTTTACTCTGTCAGTTAATTTATTTCTTATACTGCCTCGGTGTGACTCCGTGTATGTGTGTGTGTATATATACAGTGCTGTAAGTGCTCAACTGGTCAAAGGAGATTTTAAGAATATAATACTAATTTTTTCTTCTTGTTTGTTAAAGTTGCACTGTCAGTTGCTGCTGATAAAAGGTGGCATCAAGCCAGCTTCCTGAAGGAGCTATGGGGAAGGTCATGGCTTGTCATGACCTGGGCACCGGTACTTGAATGTTGTTATTATTGGGATGAAGTACCCTTAGGCTGTCATCCTTCCTGTAAATAGAAGGGATTCTGATTCTCTGTGGTTTCCCAGTTTACCAACTTGCAGAACAGCTATTTTGTTGGCCCTAAGTTTGACTGAATAATGAATTAGAAGCACAGCACTATTCCAGAAGGCACTGATTCATCATTTTAGTCTGTTAGTCTAGACTAAATCATAGTAAGTAAAGCAAAACAAAATCTGTTTCCAAATAGTTTATAAATTTACAAACTCATTTATACTGGCATACAGCCAACAAATTGCCCAGTTCCACTCTGCATGAAGTAAGGGCAGAATTGTAATTAGCAAGGAGCATAACTGAGGGCCAAACAGACTTTTTTCATTTTTTCAGTGACTTGGGGGAGTCACGGTGATGCTGGCAGAGGGGCTGACTCTTCTCCCTTGGAGTCGGTGCCCATTTGACCATTGCTATGCTTCATTGCCTCTTAGGAGAGTAACAAGAACAGTCCTGTTAATGCCTCTATTAACTAAACAAATTCTGTTGTTAATTTCCAGAAAAATTAAATAAAACAATACCAATTAGAATATAATGTTTGCAAGATACTGGCCTGCGTTTCAGTTTATCAGGGTAGGATCATAAGCATGCTGTTGTTGAAGTTTTCACCAATGTGTTGCTGTTGTAACTGAAGTCACATCTATCCTGATGAATATTTCATTTCCCCAATCATGCTATTAAAAACAGAGTGTTTTTACCCTTTCATTTCTGCTTTCTCTTTTCCAGTACCATCGTGACAGCTGTGGCTGCGTCCTGTTTACAAATTGCTGCTAGTCACATTTTCAGTAGTCCTTATGGGTTTTGCTTTCCCCTAATACATCCAATTAGGAGGAAATATTTCTCACAAGCAGGGACTTGCTCTTCTCCTTGTAATGACATAGTTCTGCAATCCAGGAAACAGTCCTGCATGGTGTCCATGTCCACGATTTCCTGATGTGGGAAAAACGTGTGGAAAGCATCTGGAGAGGAGGAGACCCCCTTTACCAGCTTGTTTCCTGTAAGCGAAATTGGAAGACCTTGTCTGTGCAAATAGATTTCAAAATAGAGTCTGCCCTTTGACTGTCTCCATAATTACACAGCGCTCTCTGTATTTTATTTGGCTGCCAGAGCAGTTAACCCCTGGAAGTAAGGGGCTGATGATGGCGTGACCAGCACGGGTATGCAGACATGACCATGTGAATACACTCTTGTTTGGAGAAGCCTGTCATTAAGACCTTCTTATAATATAATTTTACCAAATTTGAGAATTATCATGTGTTGGATTATGTTGATTAAGATACGTTATATCCATAATGTACAAAAATGTGAAGGTATTAGTTGCAAAAAAGGGGGAAAAAAAGAGAAACAAAAAAAAAGTTCTTTCATGGCTTTGATGTAATCAACATCTGTCAACAGAATGAATTTGCTTTTGTTTAATTTCAAGGGCTCTTGTCCTTCTACTTTGCCCAATCAGTTTCAACTTCTGCCTCAGGCATTTCCCTATGTTGTTCTTGGAGGTTTTTTCCTTTTTTCTTTCTTTTTCCTTTTTTTAGCAAATGCGCAGGTTATTGCATGTGAAATGTGAGCTGGTCTTCTGCTACACAGGTTACACAGAGCTGGAAAGAACCTTTAATCTTTCCCATCCTATTTTTGAAGCTTGGACATACCTTTGCAACAGGGGGGTTACAAAGTCAGTGTTTTATTAGACAGTTAGAGTTACAATTACCAGTAAAGGTCTTTCAAACCACAGCCATTATTTTGGATTGAAAAATGGGAACATTTGGTAATTAGCAGTAAGAAGCTATGTATTCTTACCTAGTTGCATTGGCTGGATTCCACATATTGTTCTCCTTAGTGATTTTTAATACCTCATTTTAAGCTTTAGTCCTCAGAAGTTTCAGCAAAATGAGTATTTGCACAAGAACCTAAATTATGCTAGAGTATTAAAATTACCTGACAAGCCAAATGAAAGATCTCTAGTGTTTTACCTCCAAATGAATATATATTAAGAAAATCACCACAGTCATTCTTTTTTTCAGTTTAAAAAGAAAGATTAAATCACATAATTTGAGAAGAGTTCTCAGAACAATGCTTTTGATGTTAACTTTATCAAGAGCAAGTGGATTTTATTTCCTAAATAGTTTTGAATGTTAATTCTTGTAATCCTAAATAATTTTGGTACTCTGCTTCTGTTGAGACTATGACTAAATTATTTTAAAATATGTTAATTTATTTCTTGTCTCTTTTAAGATGCACCCTTGTATTTATTGTAACTCAGAACTGTCATGAAGTTTATCCATTGGTAATATTTTTGTTAATTGCTTGGAAAATTGAAATCTTTCATGAATAAATACCAAAAAATGGTTGCTAACAATCACATTTGATGAATCATGCAAATTAGCAGTTTTTTGCCCAGCTACCCCACACTTCATTAATTGGAAACATAGCTTGATAAATTGCTGTAACTGTTAAACAGGAAGCATTAGAAAAGGGCTTATGTGAGAGTTCATTTTCAACATCTCCCGTTAAAAATACTTCTTGACCAGAGGAAAATCACATTTAAATTACTAAAATCAACTTAATTAAGGGTCATTAATAGAGATACACATAAAAAACTCTCCACTCTAGGAGTGAAATGAGAGCATTTCATTATATAGTGTAACATGCATGAACAGATAACAATTAAAATAGCCCTAGAGTAAAAGGCTAATAAATATAGGGCACACTGTGCTGCAAAATCAGTCATTTAAAAATGCTCCCACCCATCATAATTCTTGAATGCAATATTCAGCCGCTCTGACTGACTCGTTTAAAAAGAAAAGAAATGTAATTTCCACACAAGATAAATTCATCTGGTAATTCAGAAGAGCTCACAGTGCATATTTATAGTGTTCATGCAGAGGAAGGTCTGGAAGGTGTGCTGAGGAATCCAGCGGCACACGGATTGCACAGGGGGTTCACTGGCGGCTCCCGGAGCACTTGGCAGGGATTTGCTGTGCTCGATGCTGATGGGATTCAGTAACGCTGCTGATCATTCTCCTCAGTGCAGCTGACAGCAAATATTCTACTGCTCGAGGCAGGTGACGTAGCCTTGCTGTGGGGGTACTGAATAAACATATAAAGGGTCAACTTTGTATCCTGGTTGTGCTGGTCTGTTACCAGCCTAGCCAGCTTCACACGCCATGCTCTCCCGTGGCAGCAGTTTCTGCTGGAAGATGCATAAATGCCACGTGTATGAACTGTCTTACAGTAATTAGTATACACAGAAAGCTTAACAAAAGGATGTGCCTGAGCATCACTGTTGCAGAAGTAAATAAAGGCACTGAGAAAAGCTTTGATGGGTGTAAGGGGTGGGGAGGAGGGAATCTCTGAGCCAGACTTGGAGAATACAGACAGTTGTTCCTGTCTCAGGTGATTGATGATGTTGCTATATCAAATTAGCTGGGAATATGGAGCTTGAAAAATAAAAGGCACTGTGGAGGCATTAGAAGGCCTTCTTAAGGAAGGAAGTGTGTGGATGGAGTCCAGATTTTCATTATAGACTAGTAACTTCATTGTATTTTAATGCCATTTTATTTAATTTTATTTTTACATTGTAGTAGAATGTTTTATCTTATAATTTTTTATATTTCAAATAAAGGTTTAGTTGTCCTGTGTTTATAATTCTTGTAATATAATTTAGGAATTGTAGTTTAGAATGGTGATACTTTTTTGCTTGTCTCATTTCATCTGTTCAAGTAGTAGATAGTTTTGTATGCATCTGTTTTATAATGAGTAGTTAGTAGAATAACAACAGGCTACAGTACCTTATTATCCTGTTATTTTGTGACAACACTTGCAGTGTATCTTTGGGAGAATAGAGGTAAAAATTTTATTCTGAATAAAAAGGTATCCCTTCTGAATGTGAGCTAGCCAACAGACATGCACCCATGGATATAGTTTATTGTATTAAGAGTGTGGAGTTGGGGGAGCGCACTGGGAATAAATGACAAGCATAATTGCACCTATTCTTCCCCAGTTAAATTGTGACACAATCAACAAGTGCCCAGGGAGCATTCTGGGCATCAAGGAGAGCATTTAAAATGCACGTTCCCATATTGATGTCCATGTGGACTTTAGCTAACCACATCAGTGAGTGTGGGATTTTGATATATTTGCAGTACCTTTAGCTGTGCTAAAAGCAAGGTACTTCAACTGCACTTTGTAAAAAAGGCAACTTGGCTTACACTGTCAGACTGATTGCTGCTTCTGATGGCCCAAAAGTTGCTGCCTCAGCAGATTCTGTGCTTCCAAATTCCAGAAATGAGAATAAACCAGACAGCGAGTTTGTAGATGCTTTGGGTTCTCCGGACATGCTTACAGTTGAAGTTTAGGTGACTTTCTGGGGTTTTCTGTATATTTAGGTTGTTTTTGTTAATTGGACAATGATTTTTTTTTCTTGTGAAAGAGACTCTAGGAAAGTAGATTATGAGTCTGCTGTTCAAATTCTAGTTAATGGACTGCCACATCAATCCAGCCCTCTATTAACTGGGCAGCTCCACTTCCTTGGAGACACTTTCTTCTGTTTTGAAGGAGGCAGCTTCCATTGGGTACTTAGGTTATACTGAGAGCTTGAGGTGAATCTCACCCTTCAGCTTCACTTTGTTATTTATCAACAAGTCAAACAAATAAACACACCAAAGTAAAAACCCAAACAAAACAAACAAAAAAACCCACCACCACCGCAAAAAAAAAACTCCAACGACAAAACAAAAAACCAACCAAACAAAAAAAAACACAATAAAATCAGCTTGAGTAAAAGTTTCTACACCTAGGTTTTAACTTTTCAGATATTGCTTCCTAGATGTAACCCTGATCAGTGCAAAGAGACAATCAGAAACATTTCTAATGCAAACCTGATTAAACTGTTTCAGTCGGGTCTGGGGCTCCAAAACAGTGCATAACTCAAATCTTCTGTATGTCATAGAGTACTGTAAAAGAGCTGTCTTTGAAAGATTGCACATGTGGAAGGATAATTTCTGCATCTGAACATGATAAATGCATCCAAAAGAAAGGAAGGAAGGTGCAATGGAATAAAAAACATGAAAGATGTGAAAGAAACTCTTCTGGAAATAAACATTTTTGCATAGTTACAAAATATGCAGGGGATTAATTTCTTAATTTCTGTGATATAAAAATGTTTAGTTACTTTTGTTTAAACAAAAACTTTTTACTGAAGAATAATTATACATCTGGATTACTTGCCACAAGGTTGCTCTTGTATTTGTATACATAATGACATTTTTCAGAAGCAGATCAACTGTTGTGTTAAACTTATGTTTCAGAAAAGAGCCCTGTTTATATTGTAGAACATTTGAGTAGTGGAAATACACACTGTGTGTAATTGCAATGTAATCGGGCAGTGTCAATAATCCTTTTGAATTTCCTGGTTTTGATGCTAGCATTGTCTTTTGTGGTGAATTATTTTGGTTTTGCTGTCTCTGAGAGCCTTTGGGCCTCAATTGCCCTTTCTTTTCCCTTTTTTCCTTTTTTCTTTTTTTCCTTTTTCCCTTGTTTTGCAGAGGAAAAATGTGTCATTATCATAGTTGCCCAACAACTAAGTTTGAGCTATGAAACTTTCGTCCCAAATTCCCATGTGAATTAAATGGAAATCTGATTGAAATACTCCAAATAAATTGCACCTTTAATCCCTTCAATTACTTGTGGCCAAGATTAAAAATATCTCCTGAAGTTTCTTCTGTTGCCCCCTGAACAAAATGAACTATTCTTTGTGTCTTGAGCAACAAGACAAAGAGCAACATTACCTTTGTTATGCTCAAATCTGTGACCAATTCTGCAAAAATACAGCTGAAAATATTGTATGAAATAACATTGTCTTCTTTTTTTTTTTTGTCTTCTCTTTTCTTGCTATTGTGTCTTATTAACTGCTTTGCCAAGCCTTGAACAGTGCAAATTGCTCCAAGCAGAGGCTAGTTAGAGCATCACTCCTGTCTGTAAACTGTGGGGAATTTACCCACACTACTTTTTAATGCATCAAACCAAAACAGATTTGATATTTTATAAAGCTTCAAAATATTGTTTGGGAAGTTTCTTGTTCTCATATCTTCTTGTTCTTTCTGCTTTTTCTTAAACAGTACAAGATTTGAATTACCCTCGGCAACGACATGAGTTCTATGCTTTATTTTACATTATGCCCTTCTTTTTGCATATTTTCCCTTTTGTAGTGTGGAGGTAGGAAAAAATGTTAATATTTTTAAATTTATCTTTTAACAGGTTCTGTGACTGGCTGCCGTATAATCTTTTCTTTGTGCAATCATAACTACCTGCACAGACACTCAAGCAATCATCAGCAAAGATGCTTCTTCTTTCAGGGACAAAGAAATGCTGCTTATAGTATAGTTTGGCCAGCCGTGGTTTCTCCAGCTCACCAAGTTCCTAAGGTACTGCAATTTCTGTTACCTAATCTGTTCTTCAGCCAGTCTAGAGTTTGATTGCAGTCATGATCAAGTGTATTTGTTGTCCAACAGCTGGGGGTTGGATCACTGTCCTGTTGCTTGTTCTGGTATTTGAAATAGGAGAGCTGATGTCCAGCTGTCTTCCATGTTAAACACAGTGATGTATTTAGCTATGAGGGAGTTCAAACCTGGGGCTTGTTTAGTTATAGTAGAATAAATGTGAGTATTGTAATCATCTGTCAACAATTCTGGGTCCAGATTCTTGTTTGGAGCAATGGTAGACTGTCTTACCAGACATCAGTAGGAATAATTCATGATCATCTGAGTCCCCCTTCTGTATAAATCTCTAGCAAGCTAATTATAAAAATGCTTGTATTTTGCTGATGATTTTATACGTTGGTTATGTCAGAAAGAGAACATACAATACCTGCTGGTAGCTGTCCCACAACCCTGCTACACATTTTAAACTTGTCTTTTTTGTGCCTGAGTGTTCTTATTCCTTGCAACATATATTTTTGGTTTTATTTACTTTAAAGCCAAAAGGGACTTTTTGATGCAAATGCAAATTTTACATGTGCTCCACTTCTTGTTTCCTTTTTTTCCGTTTCTTTTTTTTCTCTGTTTAATTACAGCATACAGATTAACTGTTTAGTATCTTTTCCTTGACTCTTTCTAAACAGTGCTCCACTGGATGTGCATTAGTACTTTTTACAGTTTTGTTTCTCATTTTAATAGAGATTTCTTATTCCAAATATAGGGCATTTCTATGGGCCAGATATACTAAAAAGTTATTAGATAGGAAAACAGAGAAGAATGATGGAAGTAGGGCTCTAAGCCCTAAGAGGTTGTGTGCAGGGAGAACATAGGGTTACATGCTTTATATATTTTCAAAATCTTAAAATCACAGAATTAAAAAACTTTATTTTCCATATTTAGATGCTTCTTTTTAGGATAAAGAGGAAGAAATATATTGTCATAATGAAAAGTTGGCTTCCCAGATCAGAGTTCTGAGACATATAAAAATCAGTCCACATCTATTAACTTTGAAAGGTTGAGGGCAAAGTTTTTACTTTTATTCAGAGTATGGCAGAAATCACATTGAAGTTATTTTTAACATTGAAGTGTTTTTTAAGATGTTGGTGTGAAACTGTCCACATGGATATTTGTATGTACTCTGCTTTGGGCTTCTCTCTTCACCGTTCTTAGGGGTCAGTAAGATCATGTCTCAGTTAATAGGTGAGTGCCCCCCAAGGGGAAAGTGAGGGTGATGCTGTGTATGGAGTTGCTAATCTAACAAATGGCATTGTTTTGGTTGTTTTTGGGTTTTTTTACTAAGGCCCAAACTACTGCAGTAGGATGTTGTTACAGTTGTTATGGCATTAATTTAAAAAAATGGGAAACTGAAATTCTGTTGACATAAGTTTGCTGAAGATAATTTCATAGTTTTTATCAGATTAGTCATAAAATACCTAAACAGTAACAGTAGTCTTCCTGTTTAAAGTCCCAATAGAGTTTGTCAGTTGCCCCACTCTTTGTTACTCCTACACCCATGTTGCTGTATGGTTGGTTTGTGTACAGCCAAAATGCCTACTTTGTTTTCTGCCTGCCAGCTTGACTGTATTTTGTAAAGTCAGTGCAAAACTCACCCTGTGGCCAGCATGGCAGAAAATCAGCCTGGCTGTCATGGGCAAAGGGATTCTTCCACAACCAGGGAAACAGCTCAAGACCCTCTGAGAGAAAGTTCATTCATTTCCAACTCTGTGCAAGACATTACTGTTCTTATTAACTTTCATGTTTTAAAAAGTTGTTTGTGGATTTTAAAAAATCAGATATTAAATTTCACCTCTTACAAGGGCTGAGAAGTTCTTGTGTGGAAAAAATGAGGTTTATTACACTTCCCTTGACATAGCAAATTGGGATACCTTTGTGCAGTGTTGTAGATGGACAAATTTAGGCACAGCATATGAACTAGATTAATGTGTAAAAGCCTCTAAATTAAAATCAGTTAAATCCTAAGATTCTTAGTCAAAAAGCAGTCTCATGGATTTTTCAATAGGAGTTTTGTTTGAATGAGAAACACAGGATTTGATCAGGTTTAATTCTGAGACTAATTCTGTATGTTTGTCCCATCACTTCCAGTGTTTAGATGCCTTTTGTAGAAAGCGCCCCTCTTTGCAAAAGAAAATGAAGAGTTTTAAAGTCTTTCTCCCAGTTTCTTAACTTGAGACTGTCTGTGCTGGAAGTCAGCTGCAGTATCTGGGTTTCAGCACTGGAAGGCTAACAGACTGTGTAAGTCAGTAGTAACAGGCAATGTTAAGTTCAAAAGGGCAGTGGAAGAAATACTGAGGCAGCCTTGAGGGTTTGCCCTGATGGCTTAGGTAGGTCGATACCACGACAGAAAGGGCAAGCTGCCATGAAGCAGGAGGCAATATCTGAGAAAATGATCCCATTGTCATGCTCAGTTTTCTGATCTTCATTTTCAATCCTTTTTCTCCAAGCACATAAAGAAGCCAGACTATGTGACGACAGGCATTGTACCAGACTGGGGAGACGACATAGAAATTAAGAATGAAGATCAGATTCAAGGGCTTCGTCAGGCTTGTCAGTTGGCCCGTCATGTCCTGCTTCTGGCTGGAAAGGGCTTAAAGGTAACAATTACAGAAGTCCCAAAACAGCTTGGGTGATTTTTGTGTTTTCATTTATTTGGGTTTTGTTCCTACTTTTTTGTTCTTTTAACTTTCCTATTATGTGCATCCAACTTTAAGTTTGATCCTGAAAAAATAAGGATTTGTTAACTTTTTATTCAGTTCATGATATGCCAGTTTAATTATTTCTGTGCTTTGGACCTATGTAGTGCATAGTTACTGGCTCAGGTGTAATATCTCTGTGTTTGTCATCTCCCTCTCTTCAGATTGTGTCAAATCATGTGAGCTTCTCCTAAGGCACATGCTACATTTTTTCCTTTCATTTCATGGCCCATCTACCTCATATGTCATGCTTTCCAGCTCTGCATGGGTACAAGCCCACACTTGGTCTGCCTTCTCCATTCCTGTCCATCCTTCAGCCCTCACTGTCCTGTGGGATCCAATACAACTCGTAGAGCTGCCTCTGGAATAAACAGCTGCCAAATTCTACACAATTTTCCAGAGTGCATTGATAGTAAAGCTTCATGATTTCCAGAAATGTTCCTAGAGTATGCTTTTTAGGATACCTCCCAAGAAAAAATATAGAGGGAGGAGCCCACTACCAGGTTTTGCAGATGAAGAAATGCTTTTTTAGCCTTGCCTTGGTATTTCATGTAATAGCATATTGGATAAGGTGAAATGGGTTGAGTAGCTATGAGATGCAGAGATAGATGGGGACTGTAGGTCAATGCCATTGACTTAAAAGGGGATTTTTCTTTCAGCTATCATCACTCTTTCACAAAGGTATAGTTCCAGAGCTGGAATAGCAAATAACAAAATTGCCTGAAGCTTTCATCTTACATAGCTTTGTGCATGTTTAACTTTTTAATGTTCAATTGTTTTTCAGCACAATAAAACTTACTCATTTAAAGTTGAAGGCATATACATGTTTCCAAAGGATCAGAGTGCAATGTGGGTTTTGAATGAGAGCAATTTTTCACAAATACTCTTTGGTTGTTATCATGTGTAAATACACATGTATGCAGTATGGTGTACTTTATGATGCAGTTCATAATATGTGCCAAATCATACATAAAGCAAAATACTACATATGTATAATGAATGTTTTGGAGCAAAAAGGTGTATAAGGTAATAATTACATAACCAGGACCTGTGTGCTGGGAGAGAGCTGGTATTTGGTGTTGCAATGCTAAGACCATGGTCCAGGTCAGTCACAGACTGGTGGTGAGCTCTGTTTTACATGATTAAGTGTTTGTTCAAGACTCCATTCACTGGGAGGATGCTCCAAATCCTTCCCTTATTGACAGTGAGCATCTTTTGCTTTCCAGCTTGTTGCTGTATGTGGTCGCTTTATGCCCATCTGTTCTTGTGCCAGCACTGCTCTTTAATTTAAACAGCTTCCTGCCTTTCTGTGAATCTTCCCCTTCATGCAGGAATAGAGCTGTGCACCAGCCTGAACAAACCAAGCTCTTTTAGCCTAATCTCATATGCTAAGCACTACATTCCTGTTTTATATGAAGAGTCCCATCCCTCCACCTGTTCCTGTTATCTTGCTGAACCCAGCTTGCATGCAGTCCTCCAGCCTGGCTCTTGCCTGTGCTTTAGCTAGTGGCAGTCAAGACCCCCCGATATAACAAAGGTGCGTTATAATCCATGGATACAGAGAGATAGAGTTTGAACGTGGTTTTGATGTTGCCATTACCACCTGTGGGATTTCAAATTATGATACAGTGTTATATATGATAGCTTTCCTGAGTTTGAGTTACAGATTTGGGAATAAAAACACAGATTCTATGACATGAAAATACTTTATTCTATACTGTTGAATTGCCCTGTTCCGAGTAAAGGATTAGGGGCACAGCAGGTGCCACCCCTAACTTGCCCAGCTAGCAAAAGTATCTTTAAAAGTAAAGCACATACTGTTAAAAGCAGAACTTTGCACAGAGTGTAAGCCATGCAGGGACCAGAGACTCCAGAGTCTGCTGAGTATCCAAAAACCACATCAAATTGCTTGAGCAGAGAAGCTGTAGGCAGCAGCCGGTCAGGTACACAGCTGTTCAGTTTGTCTGTGGGCTAAAGATGAAAATGTTTGAGCAGAGGCAGGAGCAACAAACCTGTATTTATCCAGAGCCAGCCGCTGCCATATCCAATCCAGAGAGCCTGCCAAGGCTGCAGCGGCAAAACAGGGGCATGTGCAGTAATCCCAAATCCTGGTCTTGAACCCACATTCATTGCTCCTCACCTGCCCAACAACGTTTCTGTGCTGAGCAAAATTCAGCTGAGTAAACAGACGTGGTTTCATCCTCAGCACAGTACACAAGTGCACTCTCCTGTATTGGCTGTGCATGGCCACACAGTATTTCAATATTTAACTGTCTCCTGCACCACAGCCTACCTGTATTCCACATGGTACTTCAAAATCACAGCCACTGTGACATTTCCTTCAGTGTGCCAAGAATGATACTTGTATCGTTACAAAGTATGATTTTCAAAGGCTCGGAACTCATTCAAAGCAAAATTAATTTACAGAGGAACCCTCAAAAGTACTTCTCAGTTAGAGAGGTTTCTCTACCAAATTTCAGCTCTAACCATTCCAGAGTTGATCCAAAAGAAAAAGAAAAGCAGGAATAATATTATTTTAAGCATGTGCATTTTGCACTCCATGGATACCCAGAAAATGGCTGACTGATTTATGAGAGGGGTTTTTTAATATGTAAAATCTTGTGGAAAAGATGAATCTAGAAGGCATCAAGCATAAAAATGAAGATTTCTAAAAATAATGGGTCAGCACTTGTAGATTCATTATGATCATCCAGGCTATGGCAACTCTAAGTAAAATATCCTTAAAATTTGCATCTCAATATTTCAATGTTTTATAAAATTTAGGAATACCTGGAAAACAGTTTCTTAAAATGCTTAAATACATTATGATGAATGTACTGGGTAATTACAAGACGTAATATCCTTTCTTTTACAAATAAAAGGGGAAAGTAATGTTGTGTTTTAAGGGACTGAAAGCATTGAAACAAGACATTTCTTTAGTAGCTACTGAAACGATGACATAGGAAATTGGTGTCTTTGAGAAAGTAGATATGGAAAAGAGAACAGAAAGGAAGTAGACAGGATTTTAGGTTTCCTGGGAACCTTTGAGTGCTTATTTCTACTGCATGCTTTATTTAAAATCTGTATTTTGGAGGGTTTTTCAGAAAAAAAAACTCCATATATCAATAAAGTATATCAGACAGTATAGTGTTTTGTATCAAAGCAGCATATTTGAAACACCCAATATTTCATTGAAGCTTGGCTGCAATCACATTCAGTAAATATGAGAAACTCTCTTTGCTTTTTTAACAGGATGTTATGTTTGATATTTTAGGTTGGCATGACAACTGAAGAAATAGATTCCATTGTTCATCATGAAATAATCAGACAGAATGCCTATCCATCACCTCTGGGCTATGGAGGTTTTCCAAAATCTGTTTGTACTTCTGTAAACAACGTGGTATGTCATGGTATTCCTGACAGGTATTTCCTCAATAATGTACATTTTACAACTGGAAATTAAAATGTTAAACTGGAATTAATAATTTGTATTTAATATTGAATGTACTTCAGCTTAACTAAATGTCGTACTGTGTTGTAGATGTAGGACATGTTACCCTGTGATTCTGATAGCTGTTACAGAAATATATGTGAAATATGAAAAAAAAAATTATCCTGTTTTTCCAGACACTTAAAGAAAAATAGCATATTGCATTTTGAATTTAGTGTGTGTGAGGAGAAAAAAAAAAAACAGTATGGTCTGATTTTTTGTTTATCCAGAAAAATAAGTATAGGCTAAGGTATAAATATATTTGAATTTATGTGGGATTTTTTTATATTCTCAATACATTCAGCTACTCACAAAGTAAAATATGAACCCTAGTGAGAGAAAAAGAATAAATATAATGGTAGATTTTTCAGGTGTTGATATGTTTTTCTGGTGGTTGTTTCTCATTATTTTATATTCAGCTATACTTGTTCTCTAAATAGTCAGAGCTGAACATTAAAAATGGTTATTCTGTTTGCTTCTGCCTTCCTCCATCACAAAATATCCACCCCTTGATTTTTATGTATGTGTCATTAGGTGTTTATTCTTATATTCCCTTTGTTGAGAACTGTCTGTCACCATTATTTTTTTTTTCTGTTTATGTTTCAGTCGACCTCTTCAGGATGGAGATATTATCAACATTGATGTCACGGTGAGTAATTCATATAAAAAAATAGTCTTTGATCAACTTTAGAATCACTAGTAGCAACAGGAAGAATAGTGGATTGGAGGTGGGGGATGCACAGATGGATGTGCTGTTTACTTCTGAGCCAAGGCACAAGCAGCTGGTTTCCTTTTTTGTTTTTAACTGTGTGTTTATTCCAGCTAGACTCAGGCCTGACTTGAATTTAGGACTGGAATCAGATGCACTGAGATCAATGTTGGCCTAAGTGAAATGTCAACCCAATCCTGCTATGTGTCATGTTTTTGAGAAGGTGTAATTGTTATTGATCCACTGTGTAGTTAATGCAGAGCACCACGGTACTGGGCAGCAGCTGAAGATAGATATGTATGAGATGAGCTAACATGAAGAAAGCCAGCATTTTTCCTTCACTCTGCCAAGATTGATCTTCCTCTTCCTGCTGATTTTGAGTGGGGCCTGACATTATCTTACTCTGTCATTAGAGGCTGCATTGGCCTGGGTATGTCAGTCTATTTGGACAGCAACTCTTTTGCTAGCAGTGTTCCCTACATTTATTAAAATCCCCGAAGGTAGTGTTGTGTTCCATTTCTGGTATAGAAGCTCTGAACCTTTTGAGCAGAAACAGAAATAGTGTGATATAACCGTACTTAATATTTCCAGGGAATCATCAATTATAGCTATTTAAATAAACACAGGCTGGGTTTTCCTAGGAGCAAGAAAGCACAGGAACTGGAAACCTAATTCTCATTTCATTGATGAAAAAAAAAAAAATTGTGTCTTGCAGAAGTTTTTTTCTTTTTGCTGTGCATATTTTTATTTTTCTGAAGTGCTGTTTATTTCTAGTATGAACACAGATTTTTTTAATCCCTCCATTATTTTGCAATAATATGTCACATACAAGACAGCAGAATCTTGTAAAAACAAGGGGTTTAAATCATTAAAGAACCTATTGGTAACTTGATACTGTGTTCATACTGGCAGAGTGGAGAAATCTTCAGCAGACCTACCTCTGAGCATGAGATTCAAGCTTTCTAAAATATTTTTTCTATTAAAATTAGGGTCAATGACCTTTTTCCCACTACATACTCACATGTGATCCAGAACTGGATTTGGTTTGGCTTGGGGTTTTGATCTTTTTATATTCTTTCCCATCTCCATCCTTTCTAATCGTAGAATTCTGACTATCAGGTTTACACAGTGCAATCTAGCATTTTTAAACTTTCTTTTTGGCCTTCATGTTAGCTTTGGTGAACTGGTCTCACTTTGCTCAGTTTATTAAGCTAAATCAGTTTGCAACAACTAAGGATTTAAACCATATTTCTTTGTACCTCCTTAAGGTTCATTTTACTTTTTGTTCAGTCTGTCAGGATGATAATGATACCTTAGATTTTAAAAAAGTATCGATTCATACCACAGGTACTTTCCATGATAAACTAAATTAAATATTTTTTTATATTAAAATAGTGTGCCTATCTTGTCCACTCTGCTTCACAAATGTCTGACTAAATGTTACTGGCCTTTTTGTACACATATATTTATTTCCTTTTAATTTAGTCTCATAAAAGAAAATAAATTTTGACATTTCTGCGAATATAAAGATTCCTGCAAGGATGGGAATTGCTGACTGTCTTTGTAAGATTTTTTTTAATCACTTAAAACTGAACTGTGCTGTGTGTGATAATTGCTTGGTCTAAAACAGCTGAGGAAAAAATGCTACTTTTCAGCATTATTAACTGATCTTTTAGCTTATTTTTAATGAGCAAAACTGGGACATTTCACAGCTGGACAGAATAAAAATCAAAGTAAATATTGCACAACAAATTGTTTATAATTGTGTACAGGTTCTATAAAGTAATTAAATAATACTCAAATTGTTAAGTGTAAATACCTAGCACTGTGTACAGATTATCTGAACAAAAAAATCCATTTTAGCACAGTTAAGATGGTAGCATTTCATAGATGAAATACAAATTTTATAGGCTTGAATCATGTGGACTTGAAAATGTGTTTAGTATAGAGACAATAGTGTTATCCATTACTGGATCCTCAGCATAGTGCAATTTTCAGCCTATTGTTACCAGGTTAATGTTTCTTACAACTTGGTTCTTTCACTGAATTTTAAGAAAATAGTATGTTACAGTTGCTGTGGTTGTAGTTTATTAACATCAGAAATATGTAATTGCAGCTGATGGGCTGCAGTAAATCTTATTTGGTTTGTTGTTGAGTTTTTTTGTTGTTGTTTGTGGATTTGGTTTTTTTTTGACTCTCCTGTGTTTTAAATCTGTGTTTGCTTTTCCAGGATTATGATGCTTAATGTTGGGGGTTTGTGTGTTTTCCTTGCTAGAGCTAAAAACAAACTAGTTTAGTTTAAATATAAACTATCTACTGTAAAACCTGCCCAATGGGCATTAAATAAAAAAAATTTAAAAATTATTTTGTGGTAGTCTGAACTGGCAGAGGAAGGTGTAGGGCAGAGTATTGCAGCTGTTTTTGCCAGAGCAGTGGCAACACAGTTGAGCCCTTGCTGGCACTCACCTTTCCTTAAAATACCCCTTGCTCCTAATAGCCTGCATTTTCTTTATATATCAACTTGAAGACAAACCTGGCCTTGAGATAAGCTGTCTGTAGTGTGGGGTTTTTGGGGTTATGGGTTTTTTTTTTTTTTGTTTGGAACCAAAAAGAATGTGAGTCTGTCTTTCACAAATAACTTGCCAGTGGCAAAAGTTCAGTGGCTCGAGCTCGGTGAGTAATTAGTTGTAGAAGGATAGTTGCCCACTGTTTGGGGGAGAAAAAATGTTTTAGAAGATCAAAACTGTGCACCATTATAATTTGTCTTTTTGTAGGGAAATATTGCTTGGTCTTACAATTATGGGCCTGCCTGCCATGTGCAGAGCTGCAAACCCCATTTTAATGGTGTGTTGTAGATCTCTATAGTGCATAGCCAAGATTTCTTGCACTCAACAGAGGATTTCAGGAGGGCTAGCATTTAAAACCTATGAAATTTCAAAAAGAAAATTAAAAAAACAATATGGAAGTAATTCAACAGCATGTTCCATTTTCAGAACATGAAAATTTTTCAGTGCCACAGTAGTACATTTATTCTCTCAAAATTCATCTCTGGAAATCAGAAGTAAAATCCAGTGTTAATGCCATATTGTAGCTTAAAAATGAGATTAAAGAAAACCTGCCAGAGCTGACAGTAGCTTTGGTCCGTGGGGTTCACTCTGGCTGTTGGTAGCAGGGTATGGCTCTCAGCTCAGGGCTCCAGTGGGGGCTGCTGCCTGCGGACCTTCACCTCCCTGCCAGCCACCAACAGGTTCCCCTGTGGCCAGGGCCAGCGCTGGGGCTCAGTCCCTGCCCCTCTGGGGTGCAAGCAGGTCCCTGGCTGCAGAGGGGCCAGGATGGGTGGGCACCCAACAGCCCCCAAGGCCCACCTCACATCCCCCACACATCTTCTCCCAAGCAGCCCAGTTATGCTCATGTCCTGTGGCTGAGCAGTGTCACTGCCTGGTGTGCTGCTGGCCACTGATGCACAGCTTCTGCTTTTCTTAAATTTTTAATTGGCAACATTGGCAACCCTTAGGCACCTTGCAGTCTTTTTTTTTTCCTCTGCAATGTTTTGCTTTTCCAGTCTTGCAAATATGACTTACCTGTCTATCTGTTGCAAAATACAGCTTGTTCCTAGAAAGAATGGATTTAATTAAGACAATGATTTGTTTCTGGATGCAAAATGAGAAAATGTCTTTGCATTTCTGTATATGTTTAGGTGTATTACAATGGCTACCATGGTGACACTTCTGAAACCTTTTTGGTGGGCAATGTGGATAAATCTGGTGAAAAGTTAGTGGAGGTTGCCAGGAAATGTAGAGATGAAGCAATTGCAGCTTGCAGACCAGGGGCTCCCTTCTCTGTAATTGGAAACACAATCAGGTAAGCCTTATATTGACAAGTAAAAGGAGGGCTGGCAAATGGGACAAAGGTTATTGGTGGTTTGGTATAAAGCTGATGACATGTTTTATGATTCAAAACCATCATTTCAGTCTGATATCAGTATGTGAACTGCCAAGCTATAATGTTGTTCCTCGGATAAGAGGTATTTTTTTTAAGTGAATTACACTAGGGTCAGCAAAGATAACTGTAGAAAAAGACAAATATATTCATAAAGTAGATTTAAATTAACAGATGTAATTTGCAGTGGGCTTTTGTTTATTTTTTATTTGTATGTGACACTACACCACATCTGTCTAACGGTGTCAGACAGTTAGAAACCATTGTTTTCATTGACTGTTACAAAGGAATTAGTCAACATAAATAAGCTCTTTGTTTAAAAACTACAAAAATATTTAACTCGAGAGCTTCTGATCTTACAAAGAGCAGTGCCTACTAACGTCATAGAGAAAAAAGAGCTGACATTCAGAGATTTTTCCCTGTTTTGCATCTCTTCTAACCTTCACATAAATGCAGTCATGATTCTTCTGCTGATGGCTTTAAATAAAAATGTGTCTTAGTTTTTTGAAGGTACCTATGGATTATTTTAAAATGTTTGCCAAAAGAAAGAAATAGACATATATCATATACATTTCATTAAGCAATACTTCTTCGGACTGCTAATGGTCCCAACAAGCTATTGAATTCATCCTGATTACTTAAAAGCTGCAAGGCTTAGTCACCTTGAAAGGATGCTGCTTTTTTTTTTTCGTTGTAAATCTTCAAATACTTTAAGAAAAAAAGAGAACGGCAAAATATCAGTTAGATGTATTTATAGCTTTAAAAATATTGTAACAGAGTCTGAATCAAACTTTAGTAAAACCTCTTTGGGTTATATCTGAGAAGCTTTTATTGAAGACTTTGTATAAAATTGTGTTTTTGACAGTTTTAAATTATAGGCTAACTAGCCTGGAGAAAAAGGATAGTGTCTTTCTGTTCTTTCATAGGAAATGTTGAATCAGACCCCTACTGGGAAAAGAAATTTAATGCATATCTCACTATCTTACTGTCCATGAATATAATAGAAGTGAATTCAAAATGTAGTTTTATTTTTGCAAATGGGATGAGTCGATAGATGCACCTCATATTTTTGAACACCTAGGGTTCAACAAATTTACTGGTGGTGCTCTTGCATTTTAACAAAATTTATTCTTGAGTAGAAGGGGGCACAGAACACTGGATTCTTATTCAAGCATTCTATCGAGCTCTGCATTCATGGCTGTGTCTAAAGGGCATGTCAGCCTTTGATTCTCTCTGAGAGGTAATTATCCTTTTCCTGTCACGGAACAACAAATGATAGCTAACTACAGAGGCACATTTGCAGTAGTCACATTCATCAACTGCAGAAAAAAAATTCAATTTAATTGTGCAACACAGCTGCACATAGGCTTTTTGAGCATTTCTGTTGTTCTCCCTGTCTTGCTATTCCTCCCTCCAGATCTATTTTTTAAACTTTTTTTTCTGGTTATTTTTTCCCCCTTTTTGTCTCTTCTTCCATTTTTACTCTCTGTACTTTCTTGTTAAAGTAATTTTCTTTTGTGGCTCTCATTCTTTTTTCCCCATTGAAGGCTATGAATGTAGAAAATTATCACAATTACTCATATAATTGAGCCTCTTTGTAGCAAGTGCAACTCCAGTAGCCTTTCTCCATCATGAAAATGGTTTCATTATAGGGTTTTTCATATTCTCTGACACCATCTACACAGAGGAACAGGCGTGCAGATGAGATGTACTAGGAACAGGGTAGATCAGTAAGGTCACAGTAGGAATAATTAGCTCTGCTATGGAAAGAGCATCTAGGCCTTTTACTGCTACATAAATGTACTGTCCATGGCTTTTAGTCACAAAAAAACTTACTAACAAATGGAGCTCCCGCCTACTACTTTGAAAAAAAGATTTGTATCAACACTACAATTTTCCATCATTAAGACTAATAACACAGAGCCTAGTATACATCAAGGGGAATAAAAAGAAAAATCTCACATTCAAGTGGCGGCTGGGTGCTGACCTTTGTTCCCTTTTTTTGTGTTCAACTTAACTCTTTACAAAAAAGAGCCACACGCCACACCAACATGCAGGTGAACTCCAGCTAGTGCTAGCAAAGCATGGCATTCAGTTGGAAAATCTGATAAATCTCCATGCAGGATAATGCATTTCATTACAGATTCACTACATTAATTCTAGCTGGTTTTTTTTTTTTTTTAAAAAAAAAAAAAAAAGGAGGAAGAAGAAAAAGAACAGAGTTGAATGTGACATTGGATTTTTGCTGTGTTGTTGCAGAGGTCAGTTTCCTTGCAAAATGTAAATATATAGTCAGTGTCCCCTTTACAAAGCAGATTAATTGAAGCTAGTAGCTATTCAAAACTGCATACGTAATAGCAGGTCATTAACTTTATTTCTCAAGATTTTATCGTGTTGACAATTTAAATGTGCTGATTTGTTTAGAACTACTTTAACACTCCCTCTGCTGAAAGCTCACCTTGGCTTGGTGAAGCTGTGTGTTTCAGGTTATTTGTCATTTGACATTTGCTTACAGACAGACATATAATACATATATATATATCAAAATCTCAAGTTTCACAAGAGTTAGGTATTATAAATGCCTGAGAACAAGCACCTACAAGCTGAAAACATTTAGGTCCAACAGAATGGAAATGTGTCTAAGTTTCTTTCATCAGTTTTTCTGTAAAGGTGCTCCAGTCATATCCAGAATGCATCTTATGCACAAATAATGAGAATATTTCCTTTCTACAGTAGGTTTCAGAATAATTATATTTCAGATTAAGTTTGCAGTCAATATTGGAACACAATCTTTGTCATGGAAGCTCAATAGCTGACACTGAGTATTTCACTGATAGCGGTTCATTCTTCCATCGGCTACAAGTTGCAAATAAAAGACTGCATGGATTTGTGAATTACTTTGCTTAGAAAAATTTGGATCTTTGCTTACCTCGTATCAAAACTATTGGTCAGTTCCTGTGTAAATGGAATTGGTCCCTATGGTCCATTTTCTTCTACTATTTCTGACATTTTCCGACAAAAAATATATCTAGTTTGAAATCTGCTTTTTAGAGAGTGAGTCTAAGTGCATGAAAGTGTTATGGGTGTAGAGAGCTAAAGAACTTAAAAGTGATGTTGTTAAATAAATCAAATTTCAGCTCCTACAAAAAATAGTAGTGATGAAAGTATTAATAAATGGTTTAAAATGTTTAACTAGTAAGTATATGTTTTGATATTAATTTAGAACAATATAAAGCAGATTTTTTAAAAAAATCTGTTTCTATCAGATTATGCACATTTAAACAATAAGTGGCTCAGGCAAAATAAGTCATTTTAATGTCATCTGTGATAGATTTTCCTTGACAGCTACTGTAAATTACAATTACACTGCTTCTCTCTGCACTTGAAAGTAAGCATTGCAATAAATTATCTTTTATTTCAATCCATCATGTCTGCTTTCAGAAACAGAGAACCTCAAATAAAAGTTCAGCACTATTGTAAGAAAAATACAGTAATTTGTGTTCCAGTTTGAAACTAAAATGTACCTCTCTTTCAAAAAACAATTGTTGGCTTTCAAAAATATTACTAATTATACCTCAACATTTATTGTCATTACAGGGAATCCCTGAACTTGTGCATTCCCTCAGTCTAGGATTACTATTCCAGAAAAAAAATCCCACTTGAATATTTTCCCAGTAGAATTTTGTAATTTCTCAAATTCAATACTATGGTACTATTCAAAATAGGGGTTTTTTATCACAATTAAATATAGTTTAGGATGAGTCTGGTGTCAATGCTTTAAAAAAAACCAAAAACAAGTATGCCATTCAGCAGCCAATTTGCTACTAATATAGCTAAGACAAACATGATTACTTCTAATTAAAAAAAAAATCAGATCCCTACATAAGAACACAATTATCATGGGGCTATTACCAGTTTCAGTGTTTCTCAAGTATATTCACTGCCAAGAAGTGTAAGACAAATTTGTTTAACAACTTCAGCCATTCATGTCATGCTGCTCTGCAGGACTGTTTTGGATAAGGTTTCATCCCTGGTAAGAGAAGCTGGCACTGTGGGAGAAGCATCCCTGGCTGAGGATCAGTTCACCAGGATGCTTATCCTTGGCAGCAAAGCAGTCTGTGCCATCTTGTCCAATCAGTCAAATTCTTTCTTCCCTTGTGCCACCACAGAGCCCAGAGAAGCAGTAGGAATCAGTGCTGAAAATTGGATTGTTTCACCTTTTTTTTTCTTCAGTGAGTGCTAAGAATACTAGACCAGACCTACCCTGATAAAAAGTGACAAAATTTGGTAAAAAAAGGAAAATGCTCCTCTAGGTGCACCCAGAGGGTATCTACACAGCACAGCTCCCTAAGGAAATTCTTTCAACCTGCTTTTCAGCTTAACAGAAGGGATTTATCACCCAAGAGTTCCTTTGAGGGGAAGCTTGAGTATAGGGGAAAGCTTTCTAGAGAGTCAGTCCTGCCTGTTCCTCCTTTGTGGCAATTTCCCTGTTAGGCTGCTGTCAGGACAGCAATGCATGTCTCCACACTTATCCCTCCTTTCAGAGAATTAGCTGTTGTCTGGCAACATGGGAAGAGGATGCTCAGATGGCAACTGACACCTATCTCTCCTGTCTCCACTCTCTGAAGGCTGACACGAGCATCTGACAGGCTCTGCCAATGGCTTCAGGAGGATAGCTGGGCCCTCGGTGATGTTCCTTTGCCAGCTGGGTCACTGCTGATCCATGCCAATGCCAGACACTTGGCCTGGCTTTGCCATCAGCAAAAGAAAAGCAGCACTGCAGCTACTCTTGACTCCTCAGCCACTGCGCTAGAACACATGGCAGCAAAACATAAAACCAATTACTGGGCTCACGAAATAATTGTGTTTTAATCCTGCCCAATTCACCTCTGCCCAGATATACAACAAAGATCAATATGTGTGATAATAAATGTTGTCAATGGGTATTTTTAACAGTGATTATTCTGAGGAACGTTTTTTTTTCTCTTGATGCCATCTTGTGAGTGTACATCTGCTGCCCCTGGAAATGATTTGCTGGGATGTACCTCATCCTAAGGGGAACTGGCAGACTGGCACATCCTTTCCTGTAGCAGATGCCAGGCAGCCCAGCTCAGCCATGCCAGCCTCTGCCTCCTGCCTTCACTGCTTCCCCACTTGCAATCAGGGCTCCTCCAGCTGTCTCCTCCAGCTTACGCTGCCTGTCTACAAGAAGCATCTGATGAAGTTGGGGCTGCAGTCTTGTAAGATTGTCTCATGGGAAAGCTGCAAAGAAAGGCCACCACAGACAGACAGGTCCCGAGCTGGGCAGTGAGACAGCGAGACCAAAATGTTGAGCTGTTGTCAGCAAGAAATGGTAAATGTGTGCAAAAAAGCTCCACTCTCTGGCATCTTGATTTTTTAATCAGATTCCACAGCCTGGGAATCCTGGAGACCAGAGAGGCTAACCAAGACCACTAGTTCAATTCACTCTTCTCAGAGCTGTCTCCAAGTTACAGCCAACATGTACATTTACAGGATTACCTGTGCAAGTTGTAGCTAGGATTAGCAGCTTTGTTTTGTTATGAAAGCTGCATGTTTTACTGTAACTCCACAAGGATGTAAGAGCTCACTGGGATTTATTAAAAACTCCAAAGTAAAGCTAGTAGATGTGGAGAGAAACGCCCGAAGCTCATGCAAATACTAAAAGCAGATTGAAAATGGCTGAATTTCATACCTGCAGCTTATTTTCTGTGTGTTACTTCAGGTCTGTTGACCATGTTACATTTTATGTAGAGAATACCAAGGCTCTGTATGTAAAAAAGAGGGCAGAAGGGGGGCACAGTGTCTGTCAGTGTAGATGTCAATGCCCTGTGAGCTCTGGGATCCCCTCTTTTGATCACAGACAGTAACCACTGAAGTACTGATGCTAACAGAGTTGTTTTCAATCTGTTTGGCAAGAAAGTGGTAGAATTCACTGTTGAGATGCATATGAACCATTTCTTTGACTGCATGAGGAGAGGATACTGTTGTAACACTGCCTTCTGTGTGCCCAACACACAGCTCCTGCTGCTACTGCCACCCTCCTTGGCAGCAGCTGAATGCTGAGGCTGGAGCTTCCCCTGCTCACTGGAAAGTATGCAGCCATGGTGCTCAGAAGAACAGATGCACAGAGAGAAACTATTTCTGTTTTGCTACAGAACATGGATTTTTCTGGAAGAAAAAATCCTGTAGTAATAAAAAAAATGACCATGCTCTGTAAGTGGTCAGGGATCCCATGTAAGGACATCAGCAAAGCTGAACAGTTAGTGTGATTGTTTATGATTTTGCAAAAAGACTGGCAGAAGAAGATGAAAGAAAACTTTATCACATGTTGCATGAATGGTTTCTCCCATCTCTCTTCAGAGAATCACTTCACTCATATGGGAATCATCATCTGCATTGCTCTGGGCTTGGTCACTGGAGATCTTGGATTTTTTGTATGTTTCTGAGGAATCTGGCTTTCTAACTCATCACCATTCCCTGTACTTCTTGCTTGACCTTCAGCAGCATCATAGCCAGCAGCCAAGACTCTGACCCAGATATGGGGAACATGAATAGAAAGGCAGGGGAGAAAGTATTTTCTGTCTGTAGTAGGACTTCTCATTGCATAATCCTTCATGAGTTTTTTCAAAATAATTGATGTATAAAGTTTATGTGTATATAAATTATTTATAAAGCCTGGACTTTGAGTGCAAACAAATTGAGCCCCAATTTCTAGCTTTATCGGTAATCCTCTTTGCCAGTACTTTGGAGTTTGGGGGTACCTAAACCTGAAATTTCTATTCTTCTCCAGAGTTAATGAAAAAATGTAATGAGTCTTTTTATCAGAGCAATAAAAAGGTAGAAGGTAATATACGAATCCTGTTAAAATATGTTCTAAGGTCTGAACACTGCAGCATTAACCAACTCTACTCTCTCATTGCCATTTAACTGTGGTGGAGCAGCATGTCCCTCAATTGAGTGGCATTAAATTCTGGGACGATGACCCATGGGCACTGGAGCCAGCACTGCAGAGTCTGTGGAGCCTGGTGTGCAAAGGTGATTACTTTGTACAGCAAGCTGAGGCCACTTTGCACCTGAATAAAAGCTACCCCATGGGGATTAACAGGCTTTAATTTCTGCAACAGCTTTATCTTTAGTTGAGTTTTCTAACTTTTCCAGCTTTTCACCTGTAGTGAAACTGTGAGAGTGCATTTCCTAAGATATAAATACAGACACTCCTGAAGTTCTTCGGTGCCTACCTTAATTCAAAGGAGCAAATGAAGCTTTTGAAGTTATAGGCAAAATCTCTTCAGGCTAAGTGCGTTCCTGTCCTGCTCCCGTTTGATTTTAGAAATAGGATGGGAGTGATATGCAGGGACAAGGATAACTTTCTTGTCACTTCTAATCCATCTCCAGATCTTCATGAATCTCTGCATTTTTCTGGTTTGGATACAGGCAGGCCTCCTGTCTGAGCTGCCTCAAATCACTGTGTCCACCACTGCCTCCACCACTGCTTGAGTACAGCGAGACCCTGAAAGTGAAGCCTGCAGACATGTGGTGGGCAGCAGCCAGAGCATACCCCTTGTCTCTCCAGGTCCTCCAGTTTTGGGGAACTGGGATAGGAATTTGCTTTCCTGCCATGGGTAGGGATCAGTGCTCAGCCATGGTCCTGTAGGCTGTTCTCAGAGATGCTTCTCCCTGAGGCAGGCCATGAAAGGCAGGGCAGATCTCTCAGGCAGAACTGAAATACTGTAATTGTTATTATTTGGTTTTGCCTCTGTGGCAATAGATTCATTAGAAATACCTTGTTATTTAGCATACATCTATTTGCTGAACTTTCAATACGTTTTTATACTAAATGTTTGAAGTATTATGAAAGCAAAGTAGTAGGGCTCTTAACTCTCCCTGTTGGCAGCAGGAGCCTCTTCTCCTGCAGGAAACCCAGTGCAGGCCCTTGGGTATGCAGCCCAGCACAGACTCTGCACTTACAGGGAGCTCGGCAGAGGCTGTGCTTTGGTGCTGTGCTGAGGCCTTGGCTGCCCGACTTGGCAACTTCAGCTGTGCCATCTTAAAATGAGTTCTCAGTGTGCTTGTGGAAAAGGTTACCCTCCATCGAGCAGGGAGACAACACACTGCCGTTTTACTTAGCAGGGCTGGCACGGGAGCTACCAGCCTCTGTTGGCAGGCGTGTTAACTCTGAAACCTAACAATGGCTCAGCCGTGCTCCCTTCAATGACTCTCTTTCGGAACGGTGGCAAAGTGTGACCCGGTGTCACAACGCGGTAGCAGGGGCTGGGGCCGTCTAGCGGGGATGGTGGTGGGGGCACGCACCCTGACAGATCGTCTTTGCCCCCACAGCTCCCTGGCATGGCAAGGTGGCTTCCAGGTCTGCCCCTTCTTCGTCGGCCACGGCATCGGGTCGTACTTTCACGGGCACCCCGAGGTGTGGCACCACGGTAAGCGGCCCCCGCCCGCCGGGCCCGTCTTCCCCCGCTCCGCTGGGGGCACGCACCCTGACAGATCGTCTTTGCCCCCACAGCTCCCTGGCATGGCAAGGTGGCTTCCAGGTCTGCCCCTTCTTCGTCGGCCACGGCATCGGGTCGTACTTTCACGGGCACCCCGAGGTGTGGCACCACGGTAAGCGGCCCCCGCCAGCCGGGCCCGTCTTCCCCCGCTCCGCCCGGGCGATGAGGGCTCCGGGGAGGGGGAGAGGGAGGGCGGTAAAGCGAGCAGAGCCCCCCCCACACACACACCCAGCACGCCGCCGGGCCGGCGGTGGGGAGATTAAATCGCTGGGAACCCGGAGGGCATCCCCGGCCTCGTTTTCTGAGGGTCGCGTGGGTATTTATGAGGACAAGTCTCTCGTTTACGGAGTGGCCGGGGCAGCTGAGCCCCGGAGCGCCCTGTCCCGCGCTCCGCGTCCCGCCCGCGCCCGAGCCGCGCCGGCAAAGTTTGTCACGGGGCAAAGGAAAATCTCTGCTAAAACGTGAGCGCTCCCGGCCTGCACGGAGCCGCCGTCGGGGTGGTCTCGCTGCGGCCGGGGTGGGATCGCTTTCGGCGGGTGCTCCGGCTCATAACGGGGCTCGGATGCACAGTACCTGCGAGCTAAAAAGGGGTTTAAACAAAGGGCTTGGTTGCGCTCTCTTAAAAAAAAAAAAAAAAAAAAAAAAAAAAAAAGACCCAAGATGCATAAACGCTGGTTTGTTTTTTTTTCTTTTGTAGCCAATGACAGTGATTTGTTAATGGAAGAGGGAATGGCGTTCACAATAGGTTAGTAACTCTCTGCTATGGTTTTCTGTTAAAAAGCACACACGGAGCAGCCCATATCTGTAACATTTCTTTATTGAGATGTAGCAATAACCGTGCAGACAGGGGGACGTCGGTGAGATTGACCTCTTAGGAAATAGATTAAGATATAATTTTTTAAAATGCGTTAGAAACTGTTAGGATTAAATAATTTTCAAATTACAAGATTTAAAGAATGAAATGTTAATTATCAATTTTGCTAATATTTGACTCCTATTTTTGGCAAGGCAGAGACTCTGCCGGCACACTTGATTTGAGGAGGGTGAGAAGGATGCGATCGTGTCCCCGAAGCCGAGCAGCCTGGTGGCACTTAGTCATTCGCTGCCTTCCAGAGCTGCTGTTGGGTTTGGGGACTGCGGCGGCGGTAAGCAGCCGGAGCCTCGCCCCGCAGACTGATCGTGCTCACTTCCAGTCGTGGAGAACTGCTGGGGGAAAAGCCTTCGTTCTCACTGTGTGGCTAAATGGCGCGGCAATTAGAAGGAAATAAGAAAATTGTTGTTTTGCTGGTTTAATGAACATTTTAAGCCTGTTTTAAAAATTCGAATATTTAAAACTATCTGTTGTTTATAAATGTGGTTGGTGCTTTGGTTATTATCCACACGGTCTTAATTAAAGCTTGATTAAAATTCCATGCTTTTACAAAAGAGAAATGGGCAACTTCCTACCTTGCTGTTTTGTCTTCCTTTTTAGTTCACATTTTAGTGTGTCAAGAGAATGCCAGCCCAGGGAGCTGGGACCTGTATGGAAGGGGAGCTACCTGCCCCCCTCTTTTTGGTTGTTTCACAATCCATACAGGAGTGCAACTAACTTTAGAATACTTTTTTTTTCTTCTTTTTTTCCTTGCTGCAGAGCCAATAATAATGGAAGGATCCCCTGAATTTAAGATTCTGGAGGACAAATGGACTGCAATTTCTGTAGACAATAAAAGGTGCCTGATTTTATTTTTTGGTATTTCCTAAGACATGGAACTCATCGCTGACAGGCAAAAAAACCCAAGCAGATGAGTTTCCAGGCATGGTGAATGTGTTTTCCCCCTCATAACTGCTAAATGTGAATTTCAGATCGGCACAATTTGAACATACCCTGGTGATTACCTCAGAGGGAGCAGAAATCCTCACTAAACTGGTGGAAGAAGCCTAAAGATGGAGCAAGAAGTGGAGAGACTTGCTGTACTTCTGGGATTTCAAGTTTCACTCGGGACAGAGAAGAGGTTTCTGTAATTTCTGAGGGGAATGGCTGTTGCATAAGTCACTCCAGGGGACAGAAAAAGCAATTTGAGGGGTTGGCTCTGGACATAGTTCTTTCTGTATATTACCTGGTGAGTATTTAATAAAAGTCTTTAGTTTTTTTGTGACCCTAGGAGCAGCCATGCCCAGTCTGCAAGTGGCAAAGGATTTGGGTTATTTGGGGTTAGGGGCAGAAAGTGGTGCCCCCTCTTCCAAATCCTATGTGGAGCAAATAGATATCAGATGATACAGTCTTTAAGCAGTTGAGAGGACAGAGAAACATAGCATTTTCCCTTTATAGATGAGGCACAGAGTCAATTTGTCTTCATTGTGATTAACACAGTGTTGTTTCCCAGGCTGTAACTTCTACTAGGATGGAAAAAAGTTTCCTGAGCGCATCAGGCAGAGGGAGCAGACTCTTCCCAGCATCATTCCCAGCAGCAATCCCCTGCTTCTTGCCCCTTTTTACACAGCACAAAAAGTGATTAAAAATGAGATGCAAAGCATGCCTCTCCGGGGATCAATAATTGCCCTGCTTGAAAAATTAGCCAGTTTGGGGTAATCACTGCTCTGTGGTGCCCATGTTGGTTAAGGGAGAGGCACTCTACAGTTTAAGCATTTTATGGAGGCAGAGGAGTTTGCAGTCTGGAAGAGGAGTCCTGACTCCTGCACGGAGTTTGGAACCGATGGACCTCACGAGCTGCGGTCTCACTGGACCCTGTGCTCTCTGCAGTCCTGTCCAGGCCTGCCAGCCGTGCAGGGGTTGATTTGCAGTTTAGCCAGCTGCTGACTGCCCCGTGGCACCAAACAAGCCTCACATTGATATTTGGAGGCTACCAGAGCAGGACCTGGGCCTGTGAAAGGTGGGGTAGCCTTGGAGATCATTAAAGGACTTCCAGAAGTTCCCCAGGCCTATGGCAACAGTGGTGCTGTGCTGTTTGGCACAAGTGACTTGGCCCTCACTGCAGGCAGAGGGGGTCGCATGCTGAGGGCTGGCCAGTTGCACATTCAGGCAACCAGAGTGGCTCAGTGCTGGCTCTCTCAGTGGTCCTGGACAGAAGTAAGCTGCTTTCTTACAGCTCTACTCTGCTGTTTACTTCCATTCAAGTACATTGAACTCTCAGCTCTAATAGTTTCTAACAGCAGCTTTTCAAAAAGCGGGGACCCCCCTCCCTGAATGTGGCTAACACCGCGGGGCAGCTACTCAGCTTCATCCTCCCCGAGAGGAGCTTGGAAGGCCATAAAACCTGCAAAACAAACGATGCAGCCAAGTTTACAAATACGCAGAGATTAAACAGTGCGAAGGACGGTCGGCATTGCCTGGAGGGGCATGTGTTTTGTTCCCTTACGTTCCATCGCCCAGCCGCGCTGCCCGCTCTGAGGGGCGCTGGCAGCAGCAGGGTGTCCGGCGCGTCCCGGGAGGCGCACCAGAGGTGCTTCCCGTGGATTTTGGCCACGCCGGGAGCCCCTGGATGGCACCGCAGGTGCCATGTTTCTCACCATCGTCTGCCCTTTGCCCCCTGTCCTGCTCTTACCGCAGCGACAGAGCAACCGGGAGCAGGGAACCCCCCGCAGCCCATCGTAGGGGGACTGCCGGCAGCTCCTGGTAATCACTGAGCCCTGAAGTCCCGCCGGTAACTCTGCTGGGACTGCGAGTTTTACCGGCCGCTGCGGAGCGCTGGCGGCCAGCCGGAGGCATTGATAGCGCACCTTTGTAATCCTAATTACCCATGAGACTGAAGAGATGTCTCGGCTGTTCGGAGACAGCCAGCGCCTCGCACAAGCCCATCATGCCGAAGGTGTTGCCGGGCCCGCACGATGAGAGCCCCGACGTGGCGGTCGCTCCCGCGGGGTCAGGACGTCCTGCGGCCGCGGCCCCTCGGCGCCCGCCGGAGCCGCGCTCACCGGGACCACGGAGGGGCGGGGGCCCTGCTCTGCAGGACGGGGGCGAGAAGAGCCTCACCGACCGCGGGGCTTTGGCGGCGTTGGGCGGACTGCGGTTCGCCCCGGAACTGCCTGCGTCCGGCCGATCAGAGAATTCGGCAGTCCCGGCGGACGCGGAGCGGCTCTCTGCAGTTGTCAGGCTGAGGCCGGCGGAGGCGCCGGAGCTGCCGGGGCGCCCTGTTCCCTGCCCGGCCAAGCTCGCTGACCCGCCTCGGGTGGTCACTTCCACGGCCAGGAGGGCAGAGCTGGCTGGCGGGGGGCACCGTGTGCGTGCGGAAACACCGTCACTGCCCCTTCTGCGCCAAGCCTCGGAGAGTTAGTGGGAGTGAACTTAGCGTATTGCGAGCAAATTAAAAAAAAACCCAAAAAACAAAAAAAAAACCACACCAAAACATTGAGGGGGGAAAAAAAAGGAGGGGGGGGGAAGGAGGTAAAAGCGTCGTTAGGAAACGGGCAATTAAAACCGACAGAGCCACTAATGAAAGGAGGAAAAAAAAAAAAAGGGAGCAGAGGGGCTCGCTTGTGCCAGCTTTGCACAGTCAGGGGCCGGCTGCTTCAAGGGCCGTCGCTGCCCGAAGGAGCCTGAACACGGTGCGGGCTCCGTCGGGGGTGCCCAAGCCCCGCTGCCGGCGCTAGTACCTCTAACGACATCAACGCTGCGATTTGTTTTGAATGTTCATTTTTATTGGTGTTCTCCCTTTGCCAAAATGTGCTTGATTACATAGATGTAGTGCAGTGATAACTGCGCACCCTAGACAGCCTAGGTGTAACCGGGAAAGTTCAGCCCAGGCCAGATCAAATCCCAGGCTGTTTAATGCTGGAAGGCTGCATGTTGCTATTAGTGTTAAATATATGGCTAATTATGCGTATGAAAATTAAACATCAGTGTTATGCTAATGGGGCCGCCTTCAGCTGTGGATCAGAGCACTTGAGACTAGCATTTAATCAAATGAATCAGTAACTAATACATCTGCACGTGTGAACTTTCACAAGATCATTTTCCTGTTACAGTCACACCGCAGAATTATGAAAGAAATAATTATCAACACTTTCTAATTATCTAGCGAAGTAATTTGGGATTCATCGTGGGCTTTCTGGGGAGGATCTCCTAAGTCCCACCTCATTTACCGCTCACGCACGCGGAAGTTTTCATTTTAAGCTCAAATGCGCCGTTGGGCCCTTTCAGGGGGACTTTGTTTGGTTGGATGGATTTTTTCCCTTTAAAGCGAGAACGGCAATGGGCGGGCGGCGCGATCTGGAGCTGCGGACGGCGCTGGGACGCGCGGGCCGGGCCCGAGAGCCCCTGGCTCCCGCGGGGCCCGGCGGGCGGGGGCCGCTCGCTTTGTCCGCGGGTGCCGCCGCCTCTGCCGGAGCGGGGCGGGCAGCTGCAAAGCCCCTGCAGCCCGCCGAGCCGGCCGAGCACGGCTGCGGTCCCCTCCGCGGCGAGGGGCGGCGAGGGGCGCGGGGGGTTGCGGTGCCTTCCGCCTAAGTCCGGCTCGGCGCCTTCGGTGTCCGGCGGCGGGAGCGGGCGGCCTGCGATGGGAGCGGGCTCCGGGCCGGCCGGGAGCGGGGCGCGCCGCGGCCGCCGCCGGCGCTCGGGCAAGCGCGGCGCTGCCAGCCCGGCTCTCCGCGCTCACCGGGGTCCGGGCGAGCCCCGAGCGCCTCGGACCAATCCAAAGCGATTATGCAAGACGGCGGACCAATCAGCTCCGCCGTCTCATGAATATTCATAGACTTGGCTGAGTCAAAGCTTTTAGGCGAGTTTGTGTAGATCTACAGCATCATGCTTAGACTTTTCAAAGAGACAAACTCCATTTTCTTATGAATGGAAAGTGAAAAACCCTGTTTCGCTTAAATTGGGTTCTTTCCTGTCCTGAGAAACACAACAGACCCCAAAAAGGCAAGCTGAAGAGAGAACACACACACAGACCAAGCGACAAGAAATGACCATGACTACCATGCCAGAGAGTCTAAATAGCCCCGTCTCAGGGAAGGCTGTCTTTATGGAGTTTGGGCCGCCCAGCCAGCAAATGTCTCCTTCTCCCATGTCCCACGGACACTATTCCATGCACTGTTTACACTCCGCGGGCCACTCTCAGCCTGACAGCTCGTACAGCACAGCTTCGTCCTTCTCCCGACCGCTGGGCTACCCCTATGTGAACTCGGTCAGCAGCCACTCGACCAACCCCTACATCAGTTCAGTGCAGTCCTACCCCAACAGCTCCAGCCTGACTCAGACCCGGTTAGAGGAGACAGGTAGGTGCACTCGGCTTTGGGGAGGGGGGGGAGGGGAGGAGGGAAGGCAAGGAGGGAGGGAGGGTGTTGTATTAAAAAAAATCTATCGGGGGAAAAAATTAAATTAAATTACAAAATATTAGTCAAGAGAGGCTGAGAATCACAGGGGACCAATACACAGAGCACACAATGCTTGGCTGGAAAAGAAACCAACCCAGATGTGCACGTATTAGTCTTCGTAATTATTTATTGCGTAGCGCTATAAACAATGTATGCAATTAAGGGTAATTAAACCTAAACTGCAGCCTGTAAAAATAGCAAACTTTCGCTGGGAAGAAGCCTGGGCTGCCATAATCGCCCGGAGCCTTTGTTAGCGTTACTCGAGCTTCACTTTTCTTCCTTCTCATTATTGTTATTGTCGATGTTGCTGTTGTTATTGTTACTGCTGCTGCTGCTGCTATTACTGTTACTGCTATTATTGCTATCGCTGCTATTATTATTATTTATTCTGCGTCGTTTGTTGTTTGTAGGGGCCGAATCGGAGAAAAGCACTGTGGTAGAAGGAGGGGAAGTTCGCTTTAATGGGAAAGGGAAAAAAATCCGCAAACCCAGGACTATTTACTCCAGTTTGCAGCTACAGGCTTTGAACAGGAGGTTCCAGCAGACTCAGTACCTGGCTCTTCCCGAAAGAGCCGAGCTCGCAGCCTCTCTGGGACTCACCCAGACCCAGGTACAGCTGCGACTGAGTCGGCCCCTCTCTCGTGTCCCCTCCGTGTCCCCACCGTGAGCGTGGGAGGCCACACGCGTAACGCGCCCGGGTCACAGCCGTGGGCAGCGGGGCCCGGGGAGGCACCGTCCCGCCGCGGGGGCTCCCGGTGCTGTGGAAGCCCCCGCAGAGGCCGCCGCAGTGGGCCCAGGGGCTCCCGCTGGGGGCCTTGGTGTCACAAAACAACACAG